TCAAAATTATAAAAGTGGAGCTATAATGACATTCTAATGTTTGAGAGATATTCTCTGGAAAATTTATATATTGTAGAATTCAATCTCCAAGATGCGCATTAAAAAAACATATTTTAATACTCAAAAAATCAACATGCTAATAATTAATTTAGAAATTATTCCTCTTTTTTATGAAATAGAAACATCTATAAATAGCAAACATTGACCAAGAGGAAAGCTTAAAAAAAAGATTGAAGGTATGCCATTTCTCACGTCTTAAATCTGTTTTATCTTTTATTTTGAGAAATCAAAATCTCAATTTTCCCCCAAAATTTGTCCTATCCTAAGTGGGTTAACCGAATCCCGTATCCGCACCCGTGTTGTGTCGACACGGGTTCGGCAGCAAAAATGAAGAGTCTGCAAAACTGGGAAGTAAACTACTGAAAAGGAAAGAAGAGAAAGCTACCTTCATTTTGCAATCTACAAACTACACATGTTTCATTATCTGAACTTTTCTTCTAGTATATTTCTCATTACAGGAGAAAATACCTTACTTAAGCGCAATGACAATGCATATCTGTATTTCTTTAATCATTACAACCACGAATACTGTAAACGATGCCCTAAACTTTCCTTTCTCTACACATTTCTTCACCTAGAAAGGAGGAATACAATTGGAAAAATAGTTAACATGTCATGCAAAATAGTAGTTTCTTTCTCGCTCTCTTTTCATAAGTCCAAAGCGATTTTTGTATTATATCTTAGCTAGGATTTATGTGTAGAAAGGAACAGCAGTAATAATTTACAACTGCTTTCTGGTGATAGTACTGACATTTGTAGACGTACAATTTATGATATTGTCGAATATTTCCCATCGCTGTACACAAACCAAAACAGTGGTCAATTCTAGATCAATGAATGTGAAGAGCTGAACTATTCCCACTTGATAAGTGAAGCCACGAGGAAGTGCAAAAGAGAGAAAAGAAAAGAAAACGGATAAAATAGGGTGGTATGACCATCTAAGCTGTTGTTGTGCAGTTGGAACTTACTATATAAGTAGGTATCCTAAAGGTTATAGAAAGTCGATACAGAACGCCATTTTCAGAAGTTATAACCATGAAAAACTGTGTTATTATATGACGTGACATGACATGTCAGAAATGGGATAGGTGTCATTGACAAGATAACTTAACTCTACGCTGCTTCTTTTGGAAATGACGAGAAAAAGGACTTGGAAATCTAGGAATTTTCCTACATGGGGCCATGAACACGGCGAACCAATCAAATTTCATGATCACGCGAGGCAACATGGACTCTTAAGCAAATTTTGGGACACCTTGTCAGAATTCCTCTTTAGCAATGACTACATACGTTTTTATGAAGAAAAACTGGGATTTCACCACAAAATCCTTATGTTCAACACCTTCCTGCTACAGTCTTACCAACAACTCAAAAGTGTAAAAATCAATCAGAAGGGTGAAATATTAGCACCATAAACATAGCAAATTTAAAAGAGAGCGACATCACGTACTCATTAAAGCACAAGTCTTTAATTAGCATGAGCTCTAGAACATAATGAAATTCCACAACACTCCAAAAAACGTTAGAAGTCCAGAAACAGTAGCATAAGAATCGAAAATCAAACTGAACTACGAAAAAAAACCATCAACTCAAAACCCCAAATTCACAAAATAATAATCCCTAGAATGTAACGAAATTCTACCACACTCGAGAAACCATTAGAAACCCAAAAACAGTAGCACACAGAAAACAAAAGAATTGAAAGCCAAACTGGACAAAAACCAATCAGGAATCTTATCAGCTCAATTGATTGGCTACCTAAACTTTCCCCTTGTTGATGAAAGTTTGATTCCTCACCTTGTAACCCCCTCCCCCATTTCCGTTTCCGTTTCCCTTTCCCCTTCCCCTTCCCCTACCTCCAAAAAAAAAAACCTAGACAAAAACCCATCAATTCAAGTCTCCAAATTCACAAGATGATAATCCCTAGAATGTAACGAAATTCTACAACACTCTAGAAAACATTAGAAACCCCAGATACAGTAACACAAAAAGCAAAGAATCGAAAGCCATACTGAACAAAACCCCAAATTCACAATATAATTAGCTCTAGAACATATCTCAATTCTACAAAACTCTAAAAAGAAACATCAGAAACCCAGAAACAGCAAACAAAAACAAAGCAAAAGAATTAATTTTTCGTAAAACCCATCAATTCTAAACCCCAAATTCACAACATAATTAGCTCTACAACATATCACAATTCTACAAAACTCTAAAAAAAACATCAGAAACCCAGAAACAGCAGTACAAAAACAAAGCAAAAGAATCATTTTTTCATAAAACCCATCAATTCAAAAAACCCAAATTCACAATATAATTAGCTCTACAACACATCACAATTCTACAAAACTCAAAAAAAAAAAACATCAGAAACCCAGAAACAGTAGTTCAAAAACAAAGCAAAAGAATCAATTTTTCATAAAACCCATCAATTCAAAACCCCATATTCACAACAAAAAATAAGCTCTACAACACAACAACATTCTACAACACTCAATAAACCATCAGACAAAAAAAAACTGAAAAATCACAAAATAATTAATAATCCGTACCTTCTTCTTCTTCCTGCTTAATTTTGCCCCAATTTTCACCTGGGGTTTCTTGATTCTTTCTTATCAACCAACAGAGAAACTCAAAAAAGGGTAGCTGTTCATTGACTTGGACCAAGTACTACTACTACCTACACAGCTAACCAAAAATCAAAAACCAAAAAAAAAAAAAAAACTACTAATACAAAAGTATTAGTACTAGTAATCAAGAATCTAAATTTACTTGTTCAACTTTTGGATTAGAGTGAACTCAGCCGTTGGATTTGCTTAACAAACTTTTTCGAAGGGGCCATTGAAATTGGTAAAGATTGCTTTTTTATGATTTATGTGAAAGGGGAACTATTATTTCCTAAATGGTTTTTCCTACTAAAGACACGTGTTGGATGGTGATTGGTATAAATTATAGTCAAAAATATTTTTTTATAAAATTGGTTTTTGACTTTTTCCTTAATTACTATTTCATTTTTGACTTCTTCTTTATTTTACAATTTACAGTAATGGTGTTTTAATGTATATTGGTTGTAGTCAACTTTAATTAGGTTGGGATTATAACATAGTTATTATTATTTTACTTGTTTATACGTCTCTTAATGAATTATGTGTTTTGAGTATCACATTCTTAGTTATTTAGGAGTCGTTTGTTAGTTGGTTAGATTTATGTTGGTATTCGTAATATATGGATTAGTTATGAGGGAATTTATGTAGTATTTTCTGCAGAGTTTAGTTATCATGTACTATTAGTTATTCCATTTTACCTTAAAGGTAAAATAATACTTAAATTCTCTCATAACTTAAAGTATATGTTTGTTTATGCGAATTTCCAAATGGCAAATCTAATATCGTATTGTTTTTATGTATGAATAGATTTCCTTCTAACCAGCTATTAAAGGTAACATTACTTATGGGCGATTTGATATTTGCATAACACACCTCCTATCCAAATCAGCAACCAAATGATCGATTAGAATGTTAATATTTAGTAAATTTATTCTCTCTATAAATAACTATTTGTGCGTCTTATTTATCGAACATAGTTAGTTAAGATCTAAAGCAATTAATTGTAGTCATAGTAACAATGAACGTGAAAGCAATCACAATATTGAAGTATGTGTATGTAATTTCACTTAAAATTTTCTATGATAATTAAGTGATCTCAAAAACACCTTTTAAACAATGGAACATCTGGGTGGCCCAGTGGTTTGAGCTAGGGACTTCCATGTTGGAGGTCTCAAGTTCGCAACCCCTTGCCAGCGAAAGCAAGGGATTTGTCTTCTGGGTCGAGCTCGTCGCACCAGGCTTGCCTAGTGTGGGTTACCTCTCCTATGTGGTTTGCGAGCTATTGCATAGGAGCGGGGGTTTTACCCTGTGCGCACCCAAAGGGTAGCGGCTGCGGGTTTCCCTTGTCATAAAAAAAAAACAATGGAGCATCTATTTATAAGAACAAAGCAAACATTTTAGCTTAAATATTGTAATTACCTTATACAAAACTTTTTGATTCATCATGCTATCGTCCTTAATTTACATATAACTATATAGATCTTAGTAAAAAAAAATTGATTTAGACGCACATGGTATAGATATTTCATTAAAATCTTGCACCAAAATGGTGTTGGTTAAACTATACTAGTGTAGGGAAAATGAAAAAGTCATATTCCATTAGCTCCTAGGTAGTTCGGATTTTCTAAAAGATGTTGTCAGATCCTTCAAAAATGCGATATCCTCGGAGGATCTAACATGCACCTAACAAAATATCCTTTGGCAAATGGCCTGAAAACTGTTTTGCACCCATTGCCAGCCTAACCAAGTTATCCAGATATGCAATTTCTATAGGAATGGAATCAGAAAGTTTGTTGTCACGGAGATTCAATGTTTGCAAGTTTCTCAACGGTTAGCATAAAGGTATAGACGTTTGGTAAGTTAATTCATCTATAGTTATTGGAATCGGACCAGAAAGATTGTTTGTGTGGAAGCTTCAATGCTCGAATGACTTCATAAGAATAGAACAATTTTGCACTAAGCAAGTTACCTATTTTCGCGAAGGATATGGCCTGTTAACTGGTTTTTCTTAAGACAAGCTTCAACAAGATTGGCGAGTTTTCCTGTTTCTACATGAATGGAACCATATAAGTGGTTGTCCGAGATGCAGAGGGTCTTGAGCATAGTTAGTGAGCCAATTTGTGGTGAGAGTGTGCCTGAAATCTGGTTAGTCGACAAGTGAAGATAGATAAGAATAGTGAGTTTGCTTCATAAGTTGCAACAGACTAAATGAAACACTGAACGACGTTTTATATTGTACAGAGCAAATAACATCTTAACATTGATAATTGAAACAAACTGAACACATGGAAATATATATATATATGTATACACACACACAAGCCAGAAGTGTTACTAAGCAACTAGTGGTTTCTCTGTAACTAGTTCAACCTCCATTTGATGAGATTCGAGGACCTTTTTCACGGATACCATGATGGATTTTCCATTGACATAGTGTTGTCGACAGACAGGCAAGTACATATTAGCACCACCTATAAGCTCCTTCTGCATTTCATCGGTTTTTCTCAAGGTAAAAAATGCGCGTTTGCCACATAATTCACATCTTGCTGTTAACTTTGTAACTGTATCTGCAATTGGAATAATATCAAGGACTGAGCCAAATTTCCTCCTGTAACAAGCAAGCGCGAATTGTCATTAGAATAGTATTTGTGCTAATTATGACACTCCAAATATAATGATGGAAATAAATGAGTGGTTAAATTCAACAAATACCTCAAGTAATCACCGTCTAGGCCAGCAACAATTACAATCTTCCCATCAATATCAGCAGCATTGCAGCAGAAATCATAAAGGTCTTCGAAAAACTGAGCTTCATCAATGCCAATCACATCAACCTGCTAACGAATAGATTCAATGAGGAACAAAATCATAGCGAACCAGAAATGGAGTGCAAAACAATGAAAAACAAGAATTACATCTACATTATTAGTATCTTCATCGTAAGCTAGACAAGGTTGTTCTTTCATAACGTCAATAGATCTGATCCAAGAGATTCGCCTTGTCTATAAGCTCAACTCTTCCCCTTCCCACTGGATTTTTTTGTCTATGGCAAATCCTGACACTTGGTGACTCAAATGCACGACTTTACGGTTATAGGTGGAGAGTCCTCGCTACTAGGCTAAAGGACAAACAAACTACGAATAAAAGACTCGACATATCTAATATAAACCTTTAGTTTCTCCCCATCACATAAAAGAGTGAAGGGAAGGAAACCCCATACTCAAAGAATTTAATTTCTAAGTGATGTAAGAAAGTAGACCCTTTCATTTTTACATCAAGGATTTTCCAAATTGATCGACATGGTTGCAACCACAAAAGAATCTGATTACTCATACTCAGTCAAATACATTTTCAAGACTTAAAACGGAAAATAACACAAAGGGAGCCTTGGAACAATGCAAGTTACTATAATTCATCCTTGCTTACGTATTACATACACTTTTCACAAATTTTATGAATGGAAAGTTGTCTACAAGTTCGAGCTGTGAAATCTTGCATCACGGTAGGTTGCCTACATTACACCCCCTTTAGAGTGCATGCCTTCCTCATAACCTATGTAAACGCAAGATGTTTTGTGCACCGGATTGCCTTAAATTGAAAATAACACACTAGATCTTCTAGGAACACAAGTCTAGAATATCAAGAATAGGTACTAAGTCTTAGTTCTTGATGTGGAGGTCAAGGAATAGAGTAGAACATTAGTAGGTAGTTAAGTGTCATCGAGTCCCTTTATCAGTAACACTATTATTACTCTCCTACTATCATATTTTTCAATTTTAGTATTACATGTTATTTTCATTGTTTCAGTTATCGTATTATTTGCTTTTGCTACTTCTTTTTTTTCTTAATTGCTTCCGGCATTACTTCTTTGATACGGCATTTGCTTTACATACAGGTAAAGCACAAGGAGAGAAGAAAAGGACTGCACCTTTTCATATGCATCTGGACCAAATCTATGTTTGAAAGATGATAGATCAGGCAATGACCAACATGGAAATTTCATCCCATCATGTGTCACCACTGCATCTACTGCATACCTCGTATCTTTGTTTGACTTGATCATCACCACATTTCTAGTTGAAGAATCCAAGTTATATCACAAAAACAAGTATGGAAAGCAATCATCCAAATTTAACATAGAAACTACTTCAACTTTTAACAGATCAACGTTCAAAACGTCAAACGTCTACAACAATATCAATTGTCCTATAGAGATTGACACATTAAAAGCTTAACATTCCACAATAGTAATACTACAACATAAAATTGGAACATAAAGAGCAAAAAGTTTCCTTTTTTAAAAAAAAGAAGGTATATACACTTAAACAGAATCAAACAGCTTAAAACTACTACTGGTACTATTACAACACTCCAATTCTAAACAAGTAACTGAAACCAGCTTTATGAACACTCACACCATGGTTGTTGACTTGTTGTGTGACCGATGCATCTGAACCCAATATTTTCTAACCAAATCATATATCTATATGTAAAAATATACTAAATTGCAACAAATAATAGCTCTAATCCCACAATTTTTTTAAAAATATAATAGGTTCAATACTTGAAATATTAAACATTGAAATCATAGAGCTTAAATCCTGAATCCACCGCTAGCCCCACTAACACACCAACCCAAGTTACTCCATCTAAACTCATCCCATAAAGAATGGATCTTTTTTATATTTAAAACCACGAGATCCAAAAGTCTATCATTGTTTCTTAAACTACGTATCCAATCAAACTACCGTACTTAAATTGGAACAAATAGAATATCTTCTAAAGCGTATAAAAAATTGGTACCTGCCCAGTTTGGATTCAGAATTGACGCGGCGAAGAAGAGCAGTAGTTTTACCGGCAAACATAGGGCCAAAAATTACATGGATTTCGCCGGAAGGAAGATGATTATGACCTCTTTGATCTGATCCATTGGATACAGAAACTGTGTTTTTCAGGGATGAAGAACAAAACGACATGGCGAAGATTGGTTAACAAAAAATAAAGCTGAGATTGTAGATATGTGAAAGATGAAGATGAAGAATGGATTTCAAGTTTTATATATAAAAGGGGTTTGGTTTTGAATTTTGAATTTTTGGGAGGAAAGAGTCAAAAGGCATATGAATTTTTGTTTTTTTTTTTAAATTTGGAGGGAGAATTGATAAATATTCGACTTTTTCGATGGGGTCGTTTGGTTGGAGGGATTAGGTGATTTATTCGGGAAAAGAATTTGAGATTAAATTTATCTCATATTTGATGGAAAGTATTACTTAGTTAGCACTTAGGGCTCCTTTACTTAGGAAATAAGTTATTTCGGGATTAATCATTCCGAATTATTTATCTCATGATTGTTATCCACTTTCAATATAACTACAACATACCTAGTGAAATCTCACTAAGTGGAATATGGGGAGGATGGTGTGTACGAAAACCTTACCATTACCTTGTAGAGGTAAATATGTTGTTTATGAAAGACCCTCAACTCAATTGCTTCAACTCAAGTGACGGAAGAAGACAATATAGTAGTTAATAAGAAGAGCATTGTCATCCACTTTTAATGTGGGATAAAGATAAACACTATAATCCTAGAAATTTTGGGATAAGTTATTATGTAATTTTATCCAACCAAACTTGTGATAAGCTCATCCTAAATTAAATTCGTAATCAGTTGTTGGAAAATATATATCGAAGACACAATTTATATGAAGAAGAACACTAAGATGAAAGTTTGATAATATGAATAAAGAACACAAAATTGAAGGCATGAAACACATGTAAGACGCTTTCCTAAAACGATATTTGCTTTCTTTCCTCCACGAGATTACTATGGGATTATATGCAAATATTTTTAGTGGATATGACGAGCCTATGAATTTTTGCACTAAGCAAATAATGAAAAAATCCTATTAGAAAGCAAGAACTTGAAGACTTGATCCTTTGGAGAAGAAAAGATTTATGTTGAGAATGTTGTAAAGAAATGTATTATCTAAAAAAGTTATTTGTGAATCTCCAGTAGTTGAATTTGAATAAAATTGTGGTAACCGTAAAATGAAAAGACACATCCTTTCATTTAAAAGACGCCAACTAAAAAAAATGAAAAGAGACACTCTTTCATTCAAAAGACACCTCTTTGTTGAAGAAAAAACTTATATTAATAATTTAATTTAAACAAAATTCCAACATTAGTTATTCCTGATCTGTCATACCGAATGAGCCCTTAGTATTTCACATAAGATCTTATTTTCCAATCTTTATAGTATTTCTATTGTTTTGTTTGTTAGGTACTTCTTGTTAGTTTGTTATTATTTTTTCTTCATTCGTGTTTTGATTACTCCTTTTTTGAGTTGAGGATTTATCAAACATTCTTTACACACCACAAAAATAAAGTTAAGGTCTTAATATATTCTATTCTCTCCAAAACTATTTTATGTGTTTAAATTAGGTATGTTATAGTTATTACATTTAATCAAAGGTATTTGCTAGAATTGATATTAAATTCAAAATTATAATCTGCATAACTTATTTCATACCGAAGAAGCCATTTTATTGTGGTTTCATGGTTATAATCATGTCATCTCCTAGTTTCAAACCAAATGATCCCTAAGGATAGTTTGGTGGATGACATTGGAATAATTAGTCATAAAATTATGAATAAAATAATATAGTGTTTAATTGATCACCATAAAAAGAAACTATGATATATTAATTAATTAATATTTTATCTAAATTTTGTATTTACAATTTGCTTTATTATAGACAAGTCATGTATATTCATATGTTGATAAAATGAATAACTTCAATCATTTGGCATTCAAATCTAAATGTAATATTCTAATATTTAAATTAAAATGTGTATTTCTTGTATATTTGTAATGAAAAAGCCGCAAAGGTTGTTTTCACTAGGTCAAGGAATTTTATCTTGACTTTATTGGTCCCAATGACACATTTGATTAATATTTAATAAATTTTTGTGATTGAAAATTATTACTTATACTTAAAATGCTATTTCAATAAGTTTTTCTACTTTTTTTTTTTAATTTTAATTGAGTTGTTTTTATTCTTCTATGTGTATTATTATTTGTTGGGTTATTTATTTTGTATCTTGCTAATTAGGTGTCATTTTTTTTTTCTCACCATCCTATTTTGATAACTTTTCTTTTGAGTCGAGGTTCTATCGAAAAACAATCCTTCTATCCTACAAAGATAAAATTTGAATACTCGTGCCCTCTTCAAATTCACTTATGGAATTACACTACATTATTGTTATTGTTGTTCTTCTTTTTTATTTAACCATCTAGTTTTAGAACTCAGTCCAATCATCCACATTTCTTTATGGCATAATGCATAAGCATGTTCTCTAACTTGACCTCAATTGACATCTACATTCCCTAACTTTGGGTATGCACAAGTAGAAACTTAAACTTATATAAAATTGAACAAATAGACACATTTGTCTTACGTGGCTTCCTGCATGCCAATTTTGTGTCATATGTGGCATCCTTCATGTATTATGTCATGTAGAACGTGTGTGTCTACTTGTTAAATTTTATACAAATTTAAGTGTCTACATCTTAAGTTTTAAGACATAGATGTCAGCCAAAACCAAGTTAAATGTCATATTTATGTATTATGTTTTTCTTTAGCAAAAATAAAAAAAACAAAGATATCCCATTGGTAAGAAAATCGTCTACATCATATGTTAACATCAAATCAATGATTGCATGACATATATTTGAATACAAACAATTATCACTTAATTTTGGTCAATTAATGTATATTTTTGTTCATCAAATTAATAAACTACAATAAATTAAATTAATTTGATATAAACATCTGATACAAATATGTATTTATCATAGTCCATAATTCATCCATCCATCTACCTTTCTTGATGGTCAAGTAACTAATTTCAAATTGAGGTTGAAATAATACACATAAAATTTCAATTATAAATTATTTGCAAATTGAACTTAGCTCAAAGTTTTTATTACAATAAAAATAATAATATTTTTTTCCCTTTATTAGATTTGGTCCATTTTTCTTTTTGGTCCACAATGAAAAGTTTCTTTTATTATTCACAACCCCTTCATCAATCAAAACATCACAAACCAAAACCAAGAAAAACTTCAAAACTCAAAACAAATTCTCTTCTCTCATTTTCCTTCTACATTACATCAAATTTTCTCGCAAAAAGTATATATATAAGGAAGGAGATTGGAGGACAAGCAAAACCAAATCCTTTAGATCAAATCACACCAAAATTTTCTCTCTCATTACCACTTATATTCTCCTTTCTTCTTGTTCTTAGCAAAAAAAAGATTGAAAAAAATTAAGCTAAAAAAAGAAAAAAATCTAATTTAATCATCAAAATCAAAACTTTTTAAAAGGGTTGAATCAATCTGTTATTGTTATCATAGTGTGTACAAAATCTTGAAGAAAAAAAATAAAATCTTGAAAAAAGAACAGTGGGAACAGAAAAGTAAAGAGGGCTAATATAGAGGAGGAAGAACATCGCCCTCGGTTCTAGTTACTGTGCCTCCTCTGTAGATCTTGATTTGGGTGATTTCTCATATGGGTATTGTTGAAAATATAGATTCTTGATTTGGGTATTTGTTAATTTATTTTTTTATGAAAAAAGTTTTGATGAAATCATTTTTCATTGTTGGATTGTTTTGATCCGTTTAGTTTGATTGAATCTGATAATTATTGGATCAGTTACAGATTGTTGTGTGTCTCTGAAGCTCTTCATTGTACGTCACAGTAAAAAGGTATGTTCTTTACTGTTTTGGCTGTTGTTTCCTTAATCTGTATATCATTTTTGTTAAGTAATGGATGTGGAATTTAATGTTGTATTTTGGATTTACTTTGAGGTGTCTCATTTTCTGCAAAATGGGTTTGTTCTTATGATGATGTAGTAAGAATGCTTTGTCATTTCTTTTTTTTTTTGAGCTGAGGTCCTTCTTAGGTAGGGGTAAGGTGTGCGTGCACACTAACCTCCACAGACCCGACTGGTGGTTATGTTGTTGTTGTTGGGTTGTTCTATGAACAAATGGTATTTGGTTTTAAAATCTTTAATTTTTTTTTGGGCTTGAAGTTGCCTAATGTTGAATGGAAAGTTTGGAACTGAGTATTTCATGACTATTGATTTTGGTATTGTAGGAAAATGCAAGTTGATCTTGGTAAGTTATTCGTTGGTGGGATTTCATGGGACACAGACGATGAGCGTCTAAAGGAGTATTTTAGTACTTATGGGGAGGTTGTAGAAGCTGTAATTATGAAGGATAGGACTACTGGCCGTGCTCGTGGTTTCGGTTTTGTGGTCTTTGCTGATCCTGCTGCTGCTGAGAGGGTAGTTAAGGAGAAACACAACATTGATGGCAGGATGGTAAGATCTTTAAGTTTGCTAAATTCTTCACAATTTGGTTTTATTTTATTAGAACACAGCTTAGCATCACAGTGTTACGAAGATATAACCAAAATGATGTAATATTTAACCAAATGCTCTGGGCCTTCATGGTATCGTTGATGTTCTCAAGCAATGCTGATTGTTAATCTTACTTTTATAGCATTTTGTCATCAAACTTTTCTGGTCTTCTACTTTGATCTGAGTTTTGAGTGCCAGAAGTTCACAACTTTAGATCTATAGTTACTTCATTTACCCGAGATTCCTTACAATCCTCATTTTACAGGTAGAAGCAAAGAGGGCAGTTCCACGGGATGACCAGAGCACGACAAGTAGAAGCAGTCCTAGTATTCATGGTTCTCCTAGTCCTGGTCCAGGACGTACAAGAAAGATTTTTGTTGGTGGTTTAGCATCCACTGTCACTGAGACTGCCTTTAAGCAGTATTTTGAGCAATTTGGAACAATCACAGATGCAGTAGTTATGTATGATCATAACACTCAAAGGCCTAGAGGATTTGGATTCATCACTTATGATTCAGAGGATGCAGTGGATAAAGTCTTGCTCAAGTCTTACCATGAGCTGAATGATAAAATGGTTGAGGTCAAGCGTGCTGTCCCCAAAGAGTTATCCCCAGGTCCTAGCCAAAGCCCACTTGGTCGGTACAGCTATGGATTAAATAGGATGAATAATTTCCTTGATGGGTATGCACAGGGATACTCTCCAAATACAGCTGGAGGATATGGAGTCGGTATGGATGGTAGATTTAGCCCCATCACTGGGGGTAGGAGTGTCTTTACTCCATTTGGTTCTGGTTATGGTATGGGTCTTAACTTTGAACCAGCCCTGAGCCCTGGATATGGGGGTAGTGCAAATGTTAACAGTAGTTTAAGCTATGGTCGGGGACTGAATCCATGTTATAGCTCAAGCAGACTTGGTGGTGGCATTGGGTTTGACGGAGGAAGTGGAGGAGGAAACACTTCTTTCTTGAACTCAGCAAATCGCAATTTATGGGGTGATGGAGGACTGCACCATGGGACGAACTCGACAAGCTCTAGCAATTTTTTAGTATCTGGAAGTGGAAACATTGGAGGAGGAAACTTTAGCAACAGTGGAGTTTGGGGTTCATCAATTTCCTCTCAAGGCGGAGGAAATGTTTCTAGCAAAAATGGAAATCTTGGATATGTGAATGGTGACGGCATATATGGGTTGGCAGGAAGCCATGGCAGAAACGTCACAAAACGTGGAGCCGCTATGTCATCAGGATCCAGGGGTAGTTATGATGGGGGCGCTTTTGCTGATTTCTATGGTAGTGGTTTGGGATATGATGATCACACTTGGCGTCCTTCAAATTCTGAGCAGGATACAACCGGTTCTCTTGGTTATGGACTAGGCAATGTACCTTCTGACATGTCACCTCAAAATTCTTCAGGTTATGTTGGTAGTTATGGAGTTGGCAACAGACAACCAAACAGAGGTACGCTTCTCATGGTTAAGCTGTTGTCTTGTGTTATTCTTATCATCTTGAACAAGTATAACTCTCATAAGATCATATGATTTAAGCTCCTAGCTATCTGCATCAACGTTAAGTTCTTTGCGTAGAGTAAGATTGTGCTTAAACTTCACCTTTAGTCTCTTTACTTTCCATAGACGGAAGAGAGCGTATGTTACTGTCAAGTTATCCCATCATCTCTTTGGCAATTTCCATTTATTTGGCTAAATTTTATTGATTGTTGGTTGTACCCTTATTGTTTTAGAATTCTAGCTATTCTCGTCTTTCTCAATGCATATCTGGCAGCCAAAAGTTACTAATTTTAGGACTTGGTGTTTATAAAATTGGGTTCTCAACACGGTTAACTTTAACACTGTTTATTTGATAATTTGGTTTTTTACTTCTTTCCTGGAACTTAAGACTATGGTTCTTTATCTGTCCTAATTCTAATTGCTAGATGAGTATAATCTCCACGTGCGTCAAAAGATAGGGGTTTTTTTGGATCAGAATATTAGTGAATACTCTATTCTTTGAGTTGAGTTGTATGTAGTCATTGATGGTCTGGAAGTGATGCTTATGGTCTAAAGTATTTATTTTGATAGTTTACTTTATCCAGTTAACTGTTCCTACAAAAAGAGGGCCAAATAATTAATGTACATTACTATCTATACAAATGATATAGCATGTGGGATCGAAGACCTAAAAAGATAATTTATTTTGTTGAGCATGGTAAAATAGAGTCCAAAAACTTGAAATCAATTTGTGCTATTTACATGGAACATGAAATATTGATAAACTATTTTTTTCATGGGAAAAATAGAGGAATGTTTTTTGAACTTGTTTTGGTTTGATCATAATATCTTATATTTCATTTAAGTTTGTTTAATGAAGAAACTTCGCCATGATTTTGTATACGTTCTCTAACTCCGACGGATCAGAAGTCCTTGATATCTGTTGCACCAACTCTTGTTGGAGTAGGGACTATAATTGATGACTTAAAAACAGCCCTCACATTACCGTATAGATAGAGTTGATTCATGCATTCCATAACATCTCTTCTCACTGTTTCAATTGAAAAAATGCAATAACTGAAACTTAACCATAAGCTTGTTGGGGTCTGCTACATGAATTCTCACTATCTAGTTTGCTCCATTTAGATGTGTCTCACTCCAATATTCAATATATTAGGTTCTTTAACCCTAAAAGTTCTCTTCATTGTCTACTGGCATACAATTTCTTCAACAAGAAAAGAACTCGTGGCAGATATTGGAGTAATGGTAGCGTACCAGTTAGAGTGGGTCTTCATCTCAACTAGTTGTATCACCTATATGGATCATATTCTACTTTTTGCCAAGTCTGCATGAACTCCAAGAGATTTTAGGTCTTTCAACACTTCTTTGTCATTTTAGGTGTACTTTGTCCCTTTTAAACACTTTTAACGATCATGGTTTCACACTTACAAACCATGATGGAGGTCTACATTAGAACATGACTATACCATTTTAAACAACCTTCTCTTATTTTAATCTTGTATGATTGCACATCTAACCTATCTCTTGCATTTCTGCGACACCCATATTGTGGATATGTTGGATTTAGAGGTCCAATATGTACTCACCATTGATAGGTATCATTCTATTGCATAACACTCTGCTATTACTTCTCCATTTACCATTCTTTTTTAGTTTTTTATTATATCTTCATCTATCATGCGGTTCGCATGAAACATTGAGCCTAGGTATCTGAATTGTCCGCATTTAAGCACTGCAAACTAATCTCACTTCAATTCAACTCTTGTATGCTGGAGGATAACACATATTTCACTGTGACATCGTTTGGAACAATTTCTCACTTCTTGTTACATGTCCTTATATACCCTCTAAAGCTCATCCTCCTTGATGCTAACTTCTTGGAAATTGTTCCTGCTGTTGGAAATAAGGACTGTATCATTGGGAACTCCTAATCCACCTGCAACACCATTTATTCCTATAAATCCAGCCTCTCTTTAGAGCCTAATGAAGGCCAACCTGTCCACTAACTTCCCTGCCTGCTATGTGTAATCTTATTGATCAACACTTCTGCTTGGGAACCTTCAAGACAAATGATAGATGATCTCTACCTTTTGTTGCCGCTTTTACAACTGCTCTTTGAGACCAGTCCTTTGGGCCCCTTATATTTCATGTCAATGCTTTTTTATTGTAGATTGGGAGGTTGTTGCAATTATGGGTTGGCATCTCTTTCTCGGATTCCATTAGCTCTCCCCACCCCTACCTTCATTTACTGAGGATATTAGATTGCCTTAGTTCCAACCGGTTCACTAAAAATCACATAAAATTGTAACCAAATTAGCCAAAGGCCTGAGAATCCTTTGGACCCTTTCATGCTTCTATTTCTGGCGCCTGACCCTTTATTGGTTCTCACCTAGTTCTGCTCATACAGTGTAGCAAACATGTTTGGTAGGTTATGAGACTGAAAGGTGGTCCACTTTTATCTCACTGGACTTTCCGACCTTGAAAATGGTCGGGTAGCCTTCATGGTTTGTTGTCTCCTCCTCTACTGGTTGCAAGCACCGACTTTGAAAGAATCTTTGTGCTCTGAAATGAGACACCTTTTATTTATCAGAAAATCCTAGTTCATGTCTTAGTACTCTTTCGTAGATGAAATTGTTCTTTTGTGCTTATGCTATGGGAATTTTGACAAAGCTTTTCGAAGGACAACATTGAGCATGATTGTGATTTCTGAAATGTTCGAAAAACATATCATCTCGAGTTTCCTTACATAATTTTCATGCAGTCCTTGTCTACTGGGAACCTCAGTGCTCTTTTACGGCAACTTGACCAGGAAATATATTTGTGTGGCATGCGCTTCGACCAAATAGTTTTATCCGTGTACTCTTAGCTTGTTTTATTACACATGATATTTTCCTTAAATTTCCTTCCTATCCTCTCTTCTCATAGATGTATGTACATTTGCAGTTCTTCGAGTTGTGATATCAGATAATGCTATGTTTTAATCTAATGTTTTCTATTGATGCAGGAATGGACGGCTAGGAGAATGTCTCGAACCAAGGCTGTTATAGTAGGCGAGATTTTTTTCCGTCTAAGTTGAATCATGAATTTTGAATATTTCCACAAATTATATAAAGCTTGAGAAGTTATAAAAGAGTTGGACTTCCTTTTGTATGGCACTTGGAATGCCTGCCTTTTGAAGGTCTAGAGATAGAACTTTGCAAGACACTTTGTTTTAAAAGGATATTTTTTTGAGTTATGTTTTAGAAATTTCCTCTTTTTTTCCCCTTCAAGTGAGGTGTAAAATCAAATTGCAGCTGCAGCAATACATACAAAGGAAATAGACAGTTTTTTTTTGCACAAAATTTTTATATTCCATGTTTTTGCTGTAAATGCGTTGAATGTTATGTAATGCTTTCTCTATTATTTGCTATGTCTTCTTTACTTCTGTATGTTCTTTTTCTTACTGCTCTGATATGCGATACTTGATCTTAGGGTCTTTTGGAATTGACTTTTCTACCTCCACGAGGAAGGAGTAAGATTTGCGTACATTCTACTTTTCATTTGATTGTATGAGAGTTTGGTTTAGTATGAATTGTGAATATTGAATATATATTTAGACTGCTTTTTTTGGTATCTTTATGTTAAAAGTTGAAGAAGTTGCATTAGGGAAGTTATTGTTCTTTTGAGTTTAAATTTTAAATATTGAGAGCTTATGCTATATGTTTCTTTATCAGGATTTTTTTTTTGCTAGTATTATCTTATTCTTATTTTATAACTATTTCATTTAACTTTGATCATCTACGCTATTCTGTTAGTATTTCTCTTTCTCTATTATTTTCATCCTTTTCCTCTTCTTTCACCTCCTCTCGAGGCAAGGGTCTATTAGTAACAACCTTTTACTCCCTCAAGGATAGGGGTAAGTCTACATATACTTTATCATGTCCTGTGAAACTATATTGAAAGCTTTTATGTCCTTGAGTATGAGTACATTTATCGGCTCTTGGGTTCATAATTGGTCCTATTGAATTTGCATGGAGGCGGAAACAAGAAATGATATATCAATTGCTATCATCCATTCATAAGTTGCAAGTGTGCTTTGAGTAAAGCATATTATTTGGTCATCTAATAGGTAATTGTAGTGCAAATGACTGTTTATAATAAATGTTGATTGATAAATTGAAAAATAAGATAGGTAAGATGCCATCATAGGTTAAAAATGTTTTATCCTTTCATTCATTATTCTTAACATTTACCATTAGTTTTAGAATATAAATAATTAACTATCAGTGAATAAAATCAAATGTCAAGATGGCCGAGTTGGTCTAAGGCGCCAGTTTCAGGTACTGGTCCGAAAGGGCATGGGTTCGAATCCCATTCTTGACAAAAAAATTTTTACGATTTTAGGTCTACCCCGTCCGCCTTTTAATACTTTCACTTACTCTACTTCCACACCTACAAACCGATGTATCACTTTCACTTACTATACTTCCACACCTGAATCCCATTCTTGACAAAAATTTTTTTACGATTTTAGGTCTACCCCGTCCGCCTTTTAATGCTTTCACTTACTCTACTTCCACACCTACAAACCGATGTATCACTTTCACTTACTATACTTCCACACCTACAAACCGATGTATTTGTGGGTAGACGAAAGTCATGTACAAGTCTTTCAAAACACTTCTTTCCATGTGCTTTTAGGTCTACCCTGTCCCCCTTTTAACAATTTCACACCTACAACAAAACAATGCATTTGTAGGTCGACGCAAGACATGTCCAAAACATTTCAAGCTATCTCACATAATTTTTTCTCAATGTATCTTTTACTTGCATCTTTTGACAAATATAGTCATGTTTTAATCTTGTACGAATGCACATCCATCTTAACATTCGCATATCTGCAACACTCATGTTATGAATACGAGTTCAAATCAAAGGAATAACAAGAATCAATTTGTATATAAATAGTAAATGTAACCAAATAACAAATCTCACTCCTCACATAACACAATCAACAAAAAATGTAACAAAAAGAATACATTGTACATCAAAACCAATAAAAAAAAACAGATGCAAACATAAGTTAAAACAACAAAAACATCAAGAATTCACCAACAATTGCCAAGAACAAGTGATTCAACATGCCCCAATTCATCATCCTATAAGAAGACGAACGCGATGAAGAATCAGGAGATGATGCTGCTACATTTTTGCCATGATCAGGACTATCAGCATCCGGGGCAATGTCAACTACTGGTGCTGGTACTAGTGGTATATTAGTCCCGAAAATTGCTTCAGGAAGTAAAACTTTGTCTACCTGATAAACTGCAACCGGATAAGTAGCATGAACTGCGCTACTAACTTTAGTATTAGCCCATCCTGAGCTAAGATGAACGGTCCCGGACACATATCTGAAGTTCAAAGAGTACAATTCTCCTCCAGCAAAAGTACTAACAGGGCTAATTTCACTAAGGTTCTTGAAATCAGCTAAACTATAGTAATGTGGCAATGCATGGAAAAAGCAAAGGGACTTGAATTGATCACCTGTGAGATTTGAAAGAGACGGTTTTTTGAGCTTAGAAAAGGCCGAGTCTTTAGGTACAAACAATGTGATTCCTTCTTTTGTGTTGTTGGCTTGTTCTTGGAACGTATCGATGACTTTAGTGGACACAAGGTAGTCGAGGAACGTGTTGAATGGGCCTGCAACCGAGAGTAGTTCGGTTAGGTTTGTGTATTCAGGAGCTGGTGATGGTGCTGGTGCTGGTGATTGAATTGGTGATCCAATAGTTTGTCCATTTACTGAAGTTGAAAGGGGCTAACAGCAGACTAATGACAACAATACAATAGTCCATTTTCTTGACCCTGGAAATTCAAACAGGGGAAAATACGAGTCAATTTCACGTATGGTCGTTGAACTTTAGTCAAAATGACAGTAGTGACAAAGTTACTATTGTCACGTTAACAGAGGCGGATCCAGGTTTTAAGTTTATAGGTTCTGAAACACACCTTTTTCTGATTTATTGAGTTCTGGATAAACTATTTATACACATAATAATGTTAATTTCATACTACAAATATAGAATTTGAGCGAAAGCTATCAGTAACTTTTATTATGGTTCCGCCCCTAGAATAAAGTAACTAAACTACTTAGATTCTTCTTTTGATCGATCAAAACTCCTTTCCTGCATGTAGCACGTTTAAAAAAAATGTTTAATAACTGGTTATACATAGTAGCAGGATCTAGATCCTGACATCCAATTATAACCTAAGTTGCTCAGATTGTCCAAAAATGTTGTCACACCTGTGTCTTATTCTTTAAAACTATACTACTTTTAGAAAAAAATCCAACATCACCTGATGACGATTCTGAAGAGTCCGAGCAACATAACTTTAAACTCCTAGTAATCCCCCACCCCCACCCCCATCCCCATCCCATACACAATTTTTTTTAAAAAAAGAAACAAACAGAAAATGACATGTAAGTATGATAATGAAAGAACTGACCTGAGACAGAGCAGCAAAGGTTTAGGGACAAAATTGTATGGAGATTGAAGATGCAAAGAGAGAGTATATATATATACATATATATATAAAGAGATAGGTTACATTTTTTACAAGTGAAAGTGGCAAATGGTGAAGGATAAATGTAGGAGCAGGTTCAATTTTTATTTTTTTTTGGTTTCCGCCCGTTGTCTGATAAAGTTATTGTCATCTGACCAAGAGGTAGTGGGTTCGAGTTGTGAGAACAACCTCTTGTAAGTCTGCATACAATAGACTGTTGTGGTCTAGCTCTTCCTCTGACCTCGCACATAGCAGGAGCTTAGTACATCAAACTGTTTTTTTTTTTCTCTTTTTAACCTAATTGTCCTATACTTGCATTGGGATTTCGACTAATTTGACTCTGCGTTGCGTAAGGTTTAAGGAGAAAATAAGACTTTTTTCATCCCAATGCTTGAACTTGAAACATCTATTAAGCCAAAGAGATTTTATCCATTTCGTCACGAACTTTAGTAATAGGTTCACGCTTTTGTTTGAGACTATGATTCTTTATCAAATATAATTTCATTTCAAAGCTCAAATATAAAATCTCAGATTAAACACGAATATATATTTGATTATCATCACACTATAACTTTTGGAGGTGGATTAGTTATAATTTGACCAACAAAAAAAAGAGAGCATATAATGATGTTGTTGTTTTAATTTTTTTTTAAAAAAAAAGAAAAAAAGAAAAAAAGAAAAAGAGAAGTTATGATTCTTAGCTGGAAACACCTGTTTTTGGTTTGGATCTCAAAACCATAGAAGGAAATAAAAGTGGAAGCAATGATTTACTCTAGTTTATTTATATGTTATAATATAATTACAATGCTGGTAGTTTTCAAAAATATTTACTATAAAAGATAAAATGCGAAAAAAATTTAATTAGACAGATAATTTCTATTTCTATTATATAGAAGAGCATGGGAAGGACAACCAATGACATTTTAGTAATTTTAACAACATTTAAGGGCAAAATAATAATTATATAATTAATGGTCAAGATGAAAATCTAGAAGAATTCATACATGTCTAACTTTTGTTATGGGCCCATAAGGATATTATTATAATTTTGTTAATATGAAGAGTTTCTATTTGTTAACTTCTTACCAACAATGATAAATGCTAAGCTTGTTTTGACATGTTTTAGAAAGAAAATTTTGAACTAATTAAAATAAAATGTGTTTGAATAGTTAATATTTTGTTCCTAAAAATAATTTAAAGGATTACTGCGTAAACATATTTTTAATATTATGTTACGTAATATGACCACTAAATTTGTATCTTGATTATTAAAATAGTCTTTAAAATGATGTATCAATATTTTTTAATTAATTTGAAGAAAATATCAAATTTCGTGACTAAAAGAATGAACAATGTCTGACTATCAAGAAATTAATAATTTGATAATGTATTTATCGAAAGATTAAAAATATAAAATTTTCATTTCTATATAAGATATTTTTTTAATATCAAACCAGATAAACTATTTAAAAGTGTAAATTTGACAAGGAAAAAGTTTAACATTCAAATTCTAAGGAATATTAAAATACAAACTAAAGAAATATGAGTAGTTAAAAAATAAAGAAGAGCAACAAAAGAAAATGTCAATAGAAAAAGGACTTTGTTGAGAAATATAGAAGAAGAAAAAAAAAATTTAGGGAAAAACAACCTGAAAAAGAGAACAAGTATATTTGTTATTTTGTGGGGGGTAAGATTTAGAGTTTTTTTTTACGTCATGATATTAAGAGTGAAGTATCAAAAAAAATTATTAATGTAATTTAGAATATAACATTACGATAATTGTTATTGTATATAGAAATAAAGTTGCTTTCATGATTGTTTTTTGTTTTTATTGTTGTGGAGTGAGAAATAAATTATGCTTTCAATATTTAGAATATAACATTACTATAATTGTTATTGTATATAGAATTAAAGTTGCTTTCATGATTGTTTTTATTGTTGTGAAGTTAGAAATCAATTTTTTATTTGTACTTTCAATATTAAAATCAATCAAAATAAATAGAAGTATTTCTATTTATTGGCGAAAAAAATAAAATGTATCACAAATTCATCGACAAAGCAAACTACAAACACGATATATACTTAAGAATAGAGATATGAAAGACTTTGAATCGATGTTTACAAATTGATTGATCGATGATTAGTATTGTATCAGATGCAAAACTTATGATGCAAATATTACAAAACAAAGATAATAACATTGTGGAAAATAGATACCACTTACAAAAATATATGAAGATCGATGATTTTTTTAAAGATATCAACATTTTATATATTCATCGAACACGAAATGTTTTAACTCATAATCTAACACAATTCTCTATTTCCTTGCTGCATAGAACTTTTTAGAATTCAATTTTTTCAATTTGGGTTGTAAACGACACATTTATGCCGTATGAACATTTGAAATAGAATATTAAGTAATATATTTAAGTTGTTTACTAAAGAAAAAAAAATAGTATAAATCTCGTATCTTTGGAGGCTAATAACATCCTATCTCGAAAGTTTCCTCAATTACAAAAGTCTTGAATTTTTCATTGCTTTCGAATACATTCCTTGGTTGTCCGATACAATGTAACATGGGAGGAATGTATCCGAGAGGAGATAGGTATGTAACCGAAATGGGATAGATGTATCTGATAGGGATTAAGGATATATCCGAGAGGGAATTATGGTATCTTAAGTTGTGAATTTATGTAATTTTTCCAACAAAATATGTGAAATTATATTGATACGGGCCTTAAATTATATAGTTTTAGTAAAAACGATAAGTTTGATATATACCAATGGTTATTATTTGTGAATTGCGATGAATAAGAATGTGACATCGATATATTACCCAACTAATGCACTTAAATTTGAGGAAAATTCCTATGTATATAATGTGTATATAAATTGTATTTATAATGTAATTACGATAAAGTACATACAAACTGAATTAAAAAACTACAGTAAAACCTCTTTAAATTAATATAGGTGGGACCATGAAATATTATTATTTTATAGAGGTATTGTTTAATCGATAAATTAATGTTTCGATATTGAAAAATTGTTTAGGGATGAAATCTCAAAAAATTTGAAAGAACCCACTTGTGAAAACGTCATTCATAAACTTGAGGTCATGATTAATGATCTCAGTTACCGTAATAAAATGGACATTAATAACCTATTGGATGGGTGAAAATGATACATGTTCAGAGGTCCAGAGCATAGAACAAATTGTGGATATCATTGGAAAAATAATGTTGATGATACAATACCTTTGGAACTAGTTACCGTAAGGAAACACTTGCATCTAGAATTTTTCACTGTTTTATGGTGCAATTAAAAAAGACAATACCGAAACTTTTGGATGCAATATGAAAAGTTAGAGATGAACTTCAATTAGATTTAAATTTTAACAAAAAAATGTTAAAACTATACATAATAGAATCATATTTCACAAAATTTTCTTAGATATATTTGTACTTTTAAAGTATTATTAATTTATAATATTAATGAGACCATATATTTATATAGGGGTCTTTTGAAAATATATTATCTTATTATCTTATCGAAATGAGTGAATTTTTCCATTGGTCCAAGTCGGGACTGAATGAAATTATTATCTTAGAGAGATTATTAATTAATCGAGTATTAATTTAGTGAGGTTTTACTGTATATATAAATTTCTATTATATAGAAACATGAAGAGGAGGACGACCAAGGATATACTGGTCATTTCACACTAATAAAAATACTCCATAGAGTTCTCGAAGCAACCATTTCTGTACTTGCTTCCACCGACAAATACAACTCAAACCTTTTTTTGCTTCCAAAGCTAATTTCTTGGCACGTTCACGTAAAATTTTTTAGTTCTCTTGTCTTCTCAACAAGATCTTCCGAATTAGGGTAGGCTATTCTGAAAAAATTTACTATGGAAGAGATATAACTTGTATTAGTTGTGTGATGGTATTTTTTATTGCAATTATATTTTGATTTATGGGATCCACTTTTGATTTTTATTTCTTTGCCTTTTATTTTTATCTTTCATGGTTTTTTTTTCTTGTCAATAATTTTTTTTTTTTGAAAAAAATTATTTGAAAACCAATTCAATTACTTCTTCAATTTTATAATATAAATAAAAATATTTTTTTATGGTTAAATAATTATCTAAGATATTAATAGTCAAATTTAAATACGAATATAATTCGTATTCGTATCATAGGATTAAACTGTTTTTCATTTATCGTATTTTAAAATTTTCATCTTCCTAATTCATTTCTACTTTTAGGATCCATTTAAACGTAAAAATTATTTACTTTTTAAAAATAATCTATTTTTAACTCAATTTTCACTTTTGAAATTGTATTAAGTACATTCAAACATGAACATCATTTCGAATATTTTTACAAAAATCATTTTGAATATATATAAATTTAATTATATTTGTACTTAGCTATTAGAATTTTCTGACAAAAATATTTCATCAAATTTTCTTTTTGCCAATTCCTAATATTGAGAGATATAATTTTGATAAAATTTCCAATTTAGAAGAAAAAAAAAGAAGAAAAATGTTCGAAGTTGAAGAAGAATGATGACCGGATTTTTATTTTGATTTTTGAATATGATGAGCTTAAAGAATAGTGAATCCCATAATTCACTTTATTTATATTATTTAGTATAATTTTATTGACTCATGTCAATTTTAAACCATATTTTCTCTTTCTTCCTAATGTTTAGAGATTTAAAGTCAAAGAATAGGCCCACTATATCCAAGTGTCAAAGAATTAGTGGAGACTCACACGACTTTTGTTAGTTGTGTCTCTACCATACTAAAAATTTTCATTCTCTTCAAAACTTTCAGGAAAACTTTTAGCTCTCA